TCCTGAAAATAAGATGTTTAACAAGTGAACAAAATACAAGTGTTTTGATTGGGAAATTAGCACCACTTTTCCTCTGAATTGTTGATTCAGTATTTCTGTTAGCACTAAGTCAATACTTAGAATACCTTTCTAAGATGAGGAGGGGGCCAAACTTGTAATGGGATTACTAAGGATTTGATATCAAATTCAGCATCATTGTAAGAACAATAAATATACCCAATTACTAAATATTTTTCCTATCTTATTCTTTAATGAAAGAACTGTGCATTTTAGAAAGGAGATTAATCTTATAAAACTTCTTCTTATTTTAAAAAAAGTTTAATTTTTCTTGAAATGTGAAACAGCCAAACTGTGTAACTGCTTACTTCCTGGATGGTGTTGTAGGAAGAAAATATCCATTCTTGGAATCTCAGCCTTGGCCCCATAAGCATTCTTCTGGGGAAGCCCTGCAGGTCCCTTTGGAGGCTTGAGACAGCAACCTGCAATGAGGATGGATGCTGGCTGAAGTCTAGGGTCATCACTGTGGCTCTCTGTGAATGCAGGACTGTAGAATGAGTCATACCTTCGGGATTGTGTTGAGGTTTTGGATATGTTGTAAAAAATAAATAACACTGCAATACTAATGGCTCTTTTACAATAGTTTGGGGCACTTGTAAATATATAACTTTCCAACCAAATGAGAATGTTTGTAAAAGTATCTTAAGTTCTTCAGCATGCTTGTTTTCCAAATTATTTGAAATTCCAGTCCAGATTTCTGACAGACTAATGAAGAGATCAGGTTTCTTTCAAATAGTCTGTGGTAGGGTTAGTAACCTAACAACAAAAGAAGGCAGAAAAACTGATGATTTCTAGTCATTTTATTCTGTCAGGCTTTCTCTTATAGTGCAGATGTTCAAGCCACCCATTGCCTTTTGTTGCATGTTTCTTGTTGTGTTTTTTTCTTTGTCCTCATTTCTTACACTTCATGGAGTGACCACATCAGCAGCAGGTTACTTTTTCAGGACACAGAAAAAAGCAAACCTAGTTTCTAAGTGTCAGAATAGGAATAATTTAGGGCTTGTATGAAGTTATCAACCCTGCTACTACCAGGATGACTTTCTGGTTTTGATTAGTTGTTGTATTTTTTGTAGTCCTTCTAGATAATTCCTATGGCTTCTGACAATTTTCTTGCTTCGTTGGCAGCACTAATCATTAATTTTTTGAGTTTAAGTCCTTTAGAAGTGTTGGGTAGTGTATGCTGTGTTGAAGATCATCTTGACGTCATATTTATATTGAGACAGAAGTTCATGGGCAGCCAGTGAAAGCTATTGGCAGTTAATGGCTGTGCAGTAAGCTGTGTATAAGGAGCAGTTGGTCTTGGTTTGAGACAGAACAGTGGATGTTTCTGGCCTTATGGCTTATGGTTAAGCGTTTGAACTGTAATGTTCTTCCTGCCCCTCCCATGACTGATCCCAGTGCTGGCACTGGGGACACTGTGATGCTCAGACTGCCTCTCTGAGCTACATCCATCATATGAAAAGGGTATTTCAGCTGCTTGAGCTGACTTTCACCAACATGAAATTTATGGAAGCAAAATAAAAGTGAAGCGTTATTTGAAAAACAATAACAAAGTCCCTTTAATCTGCTTTTTTTCAAGAAAAGCTCACAATGAGAGGTTGTCTAGTATTGGAAGCAGTAATCTTTAGCTTGATTTTGCAGTTATGAAAGCCACTTAAGCTTATTTTTGAAAGTAACATCCTGGCGGTTATTGAAATTACTCAAATGGTGGTTGGCAACTCAGTTCAGATGTCAGTTATCATGAGGTGAGCGGGCACAGTGAGAGCCTAAGCCTGATGAATGCTCACGAGAGAAGAACAGCTTCATTAAAGGGCAAAAGTCTTTTCTACTGCCCCTATTACTAATGCACAGAATCACAGAATCACAGAATGGCCAGGGTTGGAAGGGACCTCAAGGATCATGAATCTCCAACCTCCCTGCCACAGGCAGGGCCACCAACTTCCCCATTTAATACTAGACCAATGCACTTACCAAACAATTTTTCTACCAAATTTAGGCATAACCAAACCTGTATGAGGTAGGGATTTCACTTGAAACAGTGTTTAGCTCCCACAATAGATTGAAACAGGCAAGCTCTCACAGGCATCTCAGTAGTCCCTGCCTGAAAAGGAGAAAATTCCCTGATTCCTGATGACCCAGCTGTAGCATGAACAAGGAGGTGACACGCACCTGGCACTGCCATTGGAGATGTGTTCTGTGCAGAAGTAATTCTCCAGAGGGTGTCTCCTGCTTTCTCTGTGGATCATGAACCATGAAAGTGTGCTGCCCCTGTGCCTAGAAGCACCCTCAGATGATGTAACTTCCCTCCACGCTCCTTTAAAATACAATAACATAAAACAGTCTTCATGAAGATCTTGCTCGGAGGATAATAATGCATTGTGTAGCTATTTCGCATACAATGACTCTGTATGTCCCTCCAGATTGCAGGCAGTCATTTTGTAACTAGAATTTAGAGATGTCACGAGTGGCTGAACAAACAAATATTGCCAGTTAATGTTTAAGCTCTCAATTTACTAAAGCATTTGTTACCAGTTTGCAAAAGAGATCAAACAACTGTGAATCATAACCTTGGCTACTAATTAAATGCTTTATTCCCTTCCCTCATTGCAGAAGCATTTAATCTCAGGGAAGCAGGACAGCCTGTTGGGCAAATTAGATTTTACAGCATAAGCAGAAGTTTACTGTGAGGTTTCCTATTGCAGTTGGAAATGTAAAGGAACAAAATATTAACTTCCATTCCTGGCACTGAAGTTCATGTTAGCACTGAAAAAGGATTGATTTCAAATTGCAGCATTGGAAAATCGTTTTGGTCTTGTAGCATTGTTATGTGACTGAATGGTGAATCTCATTTTTATTGTCCTGCTGCCTTGCGTACAGATGATCCTCTGCATTGAGACGGAGGATGAGGGATTTGGTGTACTTTACTGGTGACCATGCATTTTCCTTAAAAATAATGGACTGTGAAGGACACCCCAGAGGAAATGAAGCATAAAACAAAACACTACAAGCAGTTTTATTGCAAGTGAAGTGTATTTCTATTTGTCATAAGATGTTGTGTGTACATTCATATATGCATACCTACATGAAGGTTACGCTATCACAACTTTAATACCTAATACCAAATTCAGCATTTATCTTTTTGGATCTAAATCTCTGAAGTAGGACTTAAAAAGATAAATTCCTTACTGCCTTCTGGTTCTGTGGATGTTGTCCCTGTCCTGAGCAGTGATTCAGCAAGGGCTCTAGCAATGGGAATACCACTTACTAGCATTGAGCTGACTCAGTTCACTGGGAGCGGATCCAAGAAGGCAGCTGGCCCACTTATAAGTGAATTCCCATTCTTATAACATGAGAGGGGACCTGGACAGAGTCTCTGTGAGACCCTTCAGTAAGCATTAGTAGGGAAGGGCTTCCCATAGAAATCCAATTGCAGATTTGGGGAACGATGCATAATCATTGAGGTGCATTTACTCTGTGTAAATGCACGCAGTGGACAGTGGGCCTGTGTTGAAAAGCTTGTGTTATTAATTTGAAAAGCTATCCTATCTTACAGTGTATCAGGAGAAAGTAATTTTTATTTATTTTATTTTATTTATTTATTTATTTATTTTATTTAGACACCAGCTGAAAGACAGTATGAACGTGTAGGAAATGAATGCATTTTGGTCTTGTTTTTGGCTTTTGCATTTGGAGAAAGCTAGTTTCCCACTCAAAAGTATGAGTTTTCATTCTTCTTGCCATATTTTCAGAGGACTGATGTCCATCATTGGCACATGCAAAATTTCTGTTTGCTGAGATGAGTTTGTCCTGAGGAGTTACCTGAATGTTCACTGATACTTCAGACTGTGTTTAACTAAAACAAATTGGGTAATACCATGCTATAATATACTAAATAGCCAAGCTTTTACAAGACTTAGATATTCAATACAGGGATATTCCTACCTATCAGCTTTGTTACTAACAATCTATAAAGGAAAATCATGTGGAATATCTAAGTAAGACCAGCTCTGCTTTGTCTGCTCCTGTGCTTAAGCCATCACTGGAAGTCTACTTGGGATGAAAACTCATAATACTAGAGGTTCCAACCTTTTAGAAAAGAAGTAAACATTGTCATAGACTTGCCAATAATGACATTCTAACACATCTGGAGAATAGTAACAGAGTGAGCAAGTAGAATAAGTCATCAACAGATATTTTATGGATTAGATTTGGTGCTGTGATGTTAAGAAGAAAAAACCGTCCTTCTTACAAGCATTAAAAATTATGAAAGATAGCAAATGACTGTTCCTCTAATAAACAGGTTTCTTTCATACATACATTTCTTTCTGAAAAATAATATTGTCAGGTAGTATGAAAAGTTGTACAAATAGCAATTAATTAATTTTTTTTTTTTTTTATTTGTCATCTTTTTTTGTATGCATGAGAAGGGAGATACATTTGTTTAGAGGCCTTCAGGATTAGTCTGTATTTATGTACACTTCCACTTCAGTTTGGGGATGCATGTGTATATTGAGGTTGCATTCAGCTACTGCGGGATCATTTGGATTGTTTAGCAGACAACTACTTGAAAATCTGCAGTATTTTTAAAATCATTTTTGAAAGCCAAATGATCTTCTTGAAGGGATGTATTGTACGAGGCTTAGTGAAAGGAAAAGAAAAACCTAAATTCTAATTGTGTGCAAAAGCCGTGCGTGGCTGAATCGGGAAAGATGAGTAGAGGATTGCTTTGACATAGAGGTTAAGTGAACACTTCTTGCTGTGACATGTATGCAAACCTAACATGGGGCAGATAAAATCCTGACTTTTATGGCATTCTTGGGAGGTGGGGAAGGTCGAAATGGTACTGTGTTGTACACGCTGGATGAATTGCTACTCCTTACATTACACATCCACATGTTGGTGAAGCACTTATTAAAGGCTGCTATTTCACCATTTGGAAGGAGATGCTCCTTCACCTCACTCACCTGCCTCGTTTTTCCCTCAGGCTGCGAGAACATCACCGTGCTGCAATTAAAGTGATTCGAAGAATGCAGTATTTTGTGGCGAAGAAAAAGTTTCAGGTGAGTAGTGAATAGAAAGCTGCTTTTCCTAATAAGCCCTCTTATTCTCCTGCTTCATTGTTTCTTTTAGAAACTCCAAGAGACTGACACAATTCATTTCAGTAACGGAGAGCTACACCCACTATTCTCTCCCTACTTGAATAGAGTAGTTGTTTAGCAGCAGGCTAGTCAACTGTGGACACACTGAAAATAGGCTAAACTCCTGAAATGCAGTCTGAATTAAAATGTTATTTTCTGCTAATGGACTTGACCTCTAACCCTCCGTTATCGCTGCCTCTTTCTCACAGTGCAAACATTCTCATATGTCTCCATTAATTCTGAGCTGTATGTTACTGTCATGCTGAGTCAGTAGGATTAGAGATTAAAATACTACCTCAGCCTTGTTTCTGTCTTTTAGTCAATGATATTGAAGTCCTGATAAGAAACTGGAATGGAAATTTGCTAGTGGATTGGAAGGTTTCAGCATTCTTTTCACTTGTCCCTAATGCATAGCTTGCACACCTCCTTCACAACTTGTGACAGTCTGTTCTCTTTACTCCTGTAACCCCCACCAACAAGCATTTCCAGCGTGTCTCTTCCCTCTCCTCCCTTGCAGGGATATTACAATATAATGAGTGTTTTGCAGTAACTAATTTAATTGGTTGCCTGGTCGGAATAAAAATTTGCGACTGCAAACTTTCTATGAATGTGGTTTTAAAATCAATTTAGTTAATCTTGTAAAAACACGTGTCAACAGCCTTCAGCTTGATTTGAACCAGGTGATTATACATGTATATAAGAAATATATAATTTGACTTAAAATGAATTGATGAGGGACAGTCTCCATAGAACAGACTTCATAGCTGAAAATGCAAAGAAAGAGGAGAGCTTAACTGCCCACATGCATACTTGAGCATAAACTTGGCACTACTGTATGGAAGAGGTTGAAAAGCTTTCCCTTAATCTACACCAAAAAAAAGGGTTGTGATGAGGAGGGATCTTTTGTCCTTCAAATATATGAAGAGCACAACATTTAGAAATTAAAAAAAAGATGGTAATTAACTATTCATGGATGCATCGTTTCTATAAATTGCTGCTTCCTGCTACTTCAAAGCCTGGATTCTGACTTCAGCTCCAAAATTTAGAACCATCACCTGAATTTCTTAATAATTTTCTTTTGTGAATCTTTTTGTATTCCCCAAAAATGATGAGTCAATTTATAGCTAAGGTTGCCATATATTTCCCCAAATTTCATTCAGTTGTGGATTCAGTATTCAGACCATTTAGGCTGAAATCTGTCACGATAGGGATTTTCTTGATGGGAACACTTTCAGAAAATTTCTGCTAGCAGATTTCACCTAACATTTTTCTTAGACTAAAATTAAGAAAGCCACGGAATCTGGCTACTGGAAAATAATTTCTGTAGTTATTTTGTTGAGAAGTTCCTTAGTGCTGGCTGGTCAGCACTTGTAACTTGGAAAGGGATGTGGCCCATTCCAGTGAAGTGTCCATTGCTATTCAATGAAAAACAGCATGAATGTGGCCAATTTCATTACACTTTAGTTTATTCTTATTCTGCAAACTGATTGTGATTCTTTGGTCTGTGGTAATTACAGAATCATTGCTCCCATAAATTCAGAACATAAAATATTTGCCATGGCATTAGCAAAGCTATTTAGAAACAAGAAATCTACACATTACATATCTACCTCCCAGGTGGTAATTGTCAAAAACAGATTTGGAAAATGCCTGAACACTGTGTGCAACATTATCCACCTGGCAAATAAATGAAACTCCCCTGCGGCAGATGACTTGATAGAAGCTGAAAAAGCATTTCACTGAATAGAATGGGACTATTCAGTTCCTACTTGAAACTTGTTTGTATTCAGTGTCCCATTTACTAAGCTGGTTTCTCAGTTGTGCTCTTACTTTCTCACCTGCAAAAGACCTCTTCCTGGCTGTCTACAAAACCCGTCAACAAGGTTGTCTCTTATCCTTCTTTAGCAGTCTTTCTGCTTCCTGCATTATTAATATGAGCTGTTAGTAATGAACTAACAATCTAAGTTAAGATAAAGTGAAATATATAAAGTCACTACCGTGTTGAAATGATATACTTCTGTTCCTGTTGGAAGTAGACTTTTCCAATAGGGAGATACCTGATACTTTTCCATAATTTCTGAACACAAGGTCATGACCAAGTTTAAAAATTTGGAGAGCACCAAAAGTACAGTTTTCAAAAGCACTTAAGTAACTAATGCACAAAGTCACCTTGAAATTCTAGCCACGAGGTGCTTTTGGAAACTTCTCCTGTAATTAGGAGATAACCACTCTTATTATTCTTTCCACAAATGTATGTTGTAAATCTGCTCTGTTCTATTATGTGCTCATAAAATAATCATAAGAAATTACTTGGCACATGTTTAAACATTTTAGTAAGTATACACTTTGTGTTAACCAGTCCTACACAATACCTGAAATTAAGGTAAAGCAGAATATGCATTTTGAAAACTTAATCTTTCAGAGATCTACATAGAAGCTGTTTTCTGGCAGATGCTTGCCTTTGAAACTTTGTATTTATGTGAAAACTAGCTTCCTAACAGTAAATTCAGATTTTCCCCTTATCTATTGAAGAAATTATGTATATTTCAGCTAAAGTTCACTGGACTGCTAATGTTTAAAGTAAGCTGGAAGAATTAATTGCAAGGTCAGCACTTAAAAGGAGAATTTTCTAGGGATGCCTTCAAAGTTTTTGGGAAGGGGAAGAATGAGAAGAAGGGAAGGAAGAGCAAAATTTTGCAAAATAGGTCTCAGCATGAACCCAGCATGCTTCTTAAACTGTACCAGCTGTTTGCAGGATACACCTGTATGTCTAACTTTGTGCAGATACGTTTTTTTAAAGACCTCAATCAATAACAAGTGGTGATGACAACACAAGGACAAATGTCAGTTAGAAAGCAGGGACTTCCTGTTTAAAAAAAATGGTAATTAAAAACAAATTGAAACTAAACAAAGACATTTCAAAGGACATGAAAAGTAATACTATGTGAAGCATCACACATACAAATCATTTCCTCTTTAAAAGAAGGGGACAAATTTATGGTGTATTTTAAAGTGTAGGTCTGAACACAATCCATATGATGATGCCTGTGTAGGAACCCAGCATAACATTTTGAAGAATTAATGCCCTTTTTATGGATGTGTTTATGCTCTTGTAAATGAGCTATAACACTTGCAAAGTCTGTGGGACTCATTCAAATTGTGTAGGAAAGGTCTACTAGTAGTAAACACAAGTCTTGTGCATCACTTAAGATGAACAGCTCAGTGTTACGAAAGGATTTCATAGATTATAGGGATAACAGTACTTAGAAATTAATGGTTTTCTGGGCTTTGTCCACCCTTCCTACACAAAAGTAAATTTCACATGTTAGGTCTAAATCAGGTATCTCCGTTCTTTCTGAAAAGCAAATCACCATGGTTAGATATTTCCACTGGTTGAATTCATGGCTAAATAACATTTGTTTTCCAATTAGGAAAGTTCCTAAATATGTTGTGACTTATGCACATGGGTACAATTGTGTCATCCACCAGAAAAGACCCAGAGACCAGGGATTTGATCTGATTTCCCATTGTCAACTATAAACATTTTTTTTTTTTCAGTTCCCTTCTGAAATATGCTTTTAATTTGTTTTGTGCTCTTCACCATGGCAAGTATTCTATACATAGAATAAACTAAAGATACAGCTTGGAGTTCCACCAATGCCATGAGTAACCGTTGCCTGGTTTGTTATGATTTCACTGGAAAATCTTGCATTTAGACACATCACCATATGAAATTTGTTTGTCACAGTATGAATCATGAGTTGTATGTGTGTAATCTTTCCTAATCTCCATACTGGGCTGTAGCAAACAATGTAGTTCAAAGTGTCCTTGTTTCAAAGGATCCCAGGCCCATTTTATTTGACTGTTACTTGGTTACATTTCCCAGAAATACCCTTGCAGGGATTCCCCTCTCCCTGCTCTGCCTCTTGGGAAAGTTCTCTCTGAATGCAGCTACAAGGGAACAGCAGTGGGCACTTGTATGCATTTCTTATTTAGTGCTGGCATTGGTGATCTGTGCAAATTTTCATACATGATGAGAGAAAGTCTTTCTCACTTAGGAAATTCTTTACCATCAGTTGATTAGCAGAGGGATAAAGGAGAGGAAAGAAGCTAAGGAAACATGTGGGACCAGCTTGTACGTTTTTCTTCAATACTCGTTCATTGTCTGCTGTGTTGTTTTTTTTTCCTTTTAGAGAACTAACAAATTCTGTTGTCAACAGCAGCAGCATGAGTGTTTTTTCTTGAAAGGTCAGCTTTCACTATGAAGTAATTACAGAATAATCAGTACTGACTATTAAATATTCCATCAGACTTGGAAACTGAACTTCATTCATAAATTATGTTTACTCCCCATTTTCAGTTTTTGTTAAATGGTAAATGGAAACCAGACAGTAACCTATTTAGAATTACTATCAGACTCCTGCTGCAGAGTATGGAAGGCAGAATAAAGCTCTTCGTGCTTCTTCCTGCTAAAGTGCTTTATTGAACCTGAAGTTTTTGAGCTGATCTTGCAGATCTGTCTCTTGCTGGTTTATCGCATGAAGATAGTAAAGATATTTGGGTTTTTTGTTTTTTTTTTTTGGGAGGGGGGGTTGTTTGTTTGTTTTGATAGCACTACATTTACAGGACTAGTCTGTGGACAAGACTTCAGGCTTATGCCACTGTTGGGTCAGGCTTCTTTCTCTGTGGCTGTCAGTTATAATTGCAGTGTGTGTAAGCACTTGGCTTTCCTGGGAATTCCTCTGTGTACTCTTTGGTCAAATCAGTGAGTATCTCACGTGAGCCCAAGGTTTGCAATTGATTTCTGAGATTCTGGCAGACTGAAATGCAATTTACTTAATGAAGTGATATTTTACTGAAAAAGTAAATATATGAAGAGAGAGTTTTAAAGATGAAGTGCTGAACTCTAGTTTTTTAAGAGCAGGTAGAATAAGAGCAAAATGTAACAGGAGACTAACAAAAACTATTATTATGTATCTATACTATACTAAACTATATATATATATCTATACTATACTATACTATAAACTATATATATATCTATACTATATCTAAACTATATGCAGAACAATTGATCTTCAGAAGATGTGCAGATTTTGAAGCAGCTTAAGGCAGTATCTGAAGACAACAGTTGGATGTCAAAAGTAATTTAATTGTAAAATGGACTGACTGCCATTCTAATCTGATCCTTATCCAGTATTTCATTTATCTGAACAAGGGAGTGTGATGAAGCAGAGATATTAAACTTGATAAATAGGAAATTGTCCCCCTCAAAACCTAAAAAAAAAAGCATTTTCTTCAAGAGATGAAGTGCCCTGCAATGCATTTTTATCATAGGAAGTTTTCCCTGCATTTAACTGGAGACTGCCCTGAAATTTTCAGTCCTGTTTTTTGGATGACTTCAGCTGATGGAGATGATGTTGAGAATTAATAGGTTTTCATTAAACCTTGAACACTTTCTAAGCAGTGATCATGAAACAGTCAAGTTCAACATTTTTAGTGTAGGGAGGAAAAATGTTAGCAGAGTTGGCACCTTGGATTTTAAGAGAGCAAACTTTAAGCTACTCAAGGAGCTAGTTAGCAGTGTCCCCAGGCAATTGACTGGAGAGGGTTTAGGTTTAGGGGTCCACGGGGATCAATGACTCTCCATCTGTGGCCACCAGAACTGTAAGAGACCAGTTGTATCCATTGAGTGTTTGTAAGTCCATGGGGCCTGACAGGATTCACATCACAGCACTGAAGGAATTAGCAGACGTTAAAGCTGGACCCCTCTCAACAGTTTACTGCAGGTCATGGACGTCTCTGCTGACTGGAAGCTAGCCAGTGTTATACCCCTGTACACAAGATAGGCATAAAAGAAGACTCAGGAAACAACAAACCTGTCAGTCTTAATTCAGTACTTGGAAAAGATACGTAAAAGATTGTCCTGGGTGCTACTGAAAGGCAATTAAAGAACAAAGCTGTCATTAGGCATAGTCAACATGGCTTCATGAAGGGAAATCTTGCCTTAGTAATTTGATATCCTTCTATGACAGGATCACCTGCTTAGATGAAGGGAAGGCAGTGGATCTAATCTTTCTTGATTTCAGTAAGGCCTTTGATACCATCCCCAGAATCCTTCTGGACAAATGTTCTTACTGTGAGCAGGTTCATGTTACCCTGGCTGAAGGGCAGAGCTCAAAGAGCTGAAGCGAATGGAGCTCCATCTGACTGGTGGCTGGTCACTAGCAGTATTCCCCGTGACTCAGTTCAAAGAATGGTTCTGTTCAACATTTCTCAGTGATCTGGATGCAGGAGTTGATTGCATCATCAGCAGATTTGCTGACAGTACTAAACCAGGATGTGCTTTTGACTGTCTGAACAAGCAAGAAGTGGCATGAAGTTCAACAAACGTAAATGCAAATGCTGCACTTGGGATGGAATGACAACAGACACAAGCACAGATGGGAGACAAGTGGCTGAAGAGCAGCTCAGCAGAAATGGGCCTGAGGTGCCGGTGGCAGCAGTTTCAACACGAGCCAGAAATGAGCCCTGGAAGCCAAGAGAGAAAGCTGCTTTTTGCGATGCACTGAACACAGTGTAACCAGCCAGTTAAAATATGTGATTCTCCTGCTATATTTAGCATTGGTGTGGCCTCACCTTGAATGCTGTACTCTGTTGTACTCCATTCTAGCCTGTTCTGTTCTTCTATAATGTCAGGTGTTACTTACTATTCAGTCTGATGTGGGAAGATTCTCTATTCCCTGTTCTCCTTCTGTTGTGTTAGAGCATCATTGCTTCAGTTTCTAACAGTAGGATTAAGATATTTTGAGTTTATTACTACACTTTGACAGGTTAATTCAGTTACTTCTCAGTTAGTCTCAATATTTCTTGGAAAAAAATGATCTTTGCCTTTAATAATTCACAAAAGTATTTTTATTACTAATAGGTTGGATTAAAATCTCCCCATACATGAAATACAAATTACAAACCCAGGGCTTTCTTTCATCATTTCTTGCCCCGGTCTTTTCCCAGTATTTCCCAGTAGATTAGAAAGCTGAACCAGGCTTTCTGCAAAAGGAAATCAGTCATGCACCTTCAACCAATACTGTGGTTTAAGGTTCACATAGCATGAACTGAACTGAGAGCTCAGGCTGAGAATAACTGCTTGCGCCTGCAAAAGAGCTCTCTACTGGCTAATAGCTGATGAGTATAAAACTGATTTCCAGAAGACATTCTAAAGTGACCACAAGGTTCTGAGCAAAGTAGCAGATATACTTTCTTGGCCTCAAGTTTAATGGATAATCTCCCAAATGTTATGTAGACATGCAGTCACAAAAAAAAGGTGGATTAAATCAGAATTGTCATAATTATTCCACAATAAATATATGATCATACAATGGTCAAATTATCTGAAAATTTAATAGAATGTTAAATGGGTTCAGAAGAATATACTTCTTGATTTTGGAAAAAAAAATTACATTCATGTGGAATATTCATACATCGTTGTGGCTTACTGATCTGTTTCTGATTTTTATTTTACAGCAAGCTAGGAAGCCGTACGATGTCCGAGATGTTATTGAGCAGTATTCCCAGGGTCATCTCAACCTGATGGTGCGAATCAAGGAGTTACAGAGGAGGTATAACAACTGATAGGATAACAAATGCTGTATTGGTAGGACAGTGCAAATTCACAGAACACAAAAATGTCATTCAAATAAAGCGGTGTTTCTACAGAAGATGAAGGAGGCAGAGAGCTTAAAAATCTGATAACTGAGACTTACTGTTTTGATTATATTTGTGTGCACTGCCTCAGACCAAGCTTACTCTGACTGTAGGCTGTAATCCCTTGATGTGCTCATACAGAGTGAAATAACATTGCTGTTCTTGTAGAATTACACTTAAGAGCAAAGAGAGAACAGATGGATGATCTAAATAAGCTACAGTAGACCAAAGAATTGAGGAAACAGCAATTCTGTTCCTGGGGAAAAGCAGCAGGCATGATAAAACTTCACTTTTGCTAAAGAAAGCTAAAGTCCATTAAAGTCTAATGCTGGTTCATTTACTGTATAAACCATAAATTTTTGAACTTCACATTGCTTATTTGTGAAGAGGCCTCCTCCCGTTCAGCTCCAGAAGATGAAGATGCTGCTTCAGATTGATAAAAGCTAAAAATTATTCTTCTTTGTTTACAGGTTGGATCAATCCATAGGGAAGCCATCTCTTTTCATCTCTGTCTCAGGTAAATTAACATGTCTAAATTTTATTTTATGAAAATATAATTAGTGGGAAATCCTTTTAAAAATACTTTTGATTTTGTTGCAACAATTTTAAAAAGTTGTGACCTGAAGTTTAGGTATCTACAATATTTAGTTAGCAACATCTTTTTGAATAGGGCTGTTCTTAATTAGATATTTAAAGCACCTGGTGTCTTCGTTTCAGCTGAGGTGGAATTACTTTTTTCAGAGTGACTGGTATGATGCTATGTTTTGGTTCTAGGAGAAAAACAGTGTTGATAACACACTGATATTTACAGTTGCTGCTATTGTAGAGCCAAGGCCATTCTCAGTGAAGGATATAAGGAGCTGAGAGGGAATAGAATTAAGACAGGTGATTTAAATTGGCCAGAAGAGTATTCCATACCAGATGATATTGTATGGAAGATGTTTTGAAGGGTGTGGGAGTTCTGGCTCTTCTGCTGAGCAGGAGCTTAGCTGGGCATCAGTCAGGAGGTGGTGAGCAATTGCTTGTGCATCACTTATTATACGTGTTCATATGGGTATATTTGGCACAGCTATCACCTTTTTTTATTTCTTCCTCTAAGTAAATAGTTTTATCTCAACCCATGAGTTCTACTTTGTTGTTTGTTTCCTTTCAATTTTCTCACCCATTCCACTGGGAAGGGGTTTAGTGACTACACAACCGTGTGGTGCTCAGCCACCTGCCAGGTTAAACCGTAGCACCTACTTTCACTGGATTTTGGAAGATAATGACTCTAATCTCTCTGGGACTCATCCTGTTTCCAGTAAAATGGTGTATTATTGATACAGAGTTCCTATGAAATCAAATATATTCACATGCATCTTTGTTACCTTTGAAAAGAAAGTTGAAAAGGAGCTCGAGGTATTAGGTTTGTTTAGCAGCAAGACTGGTTAATCAAAACCCTGTTACTGTCATTTTCAAGTTTATTTTTCTGTATGGCATGTAGAAAGAAAAAAAGATAAAACGTTGTCCAAGTGCATTGCTCATACTTATTTTTGTACATAGTCCCAAATTGTTTTTTAAACAGTAATTAAAATATTAACTAACTTGGGACCAATTTTGATCTCCCAGGCTAAAGCATAAAGCTAAGGTTGAAAGTGCCTTAAACTTAAGGGCTGTTAAAAGCCATGGCTTGGGCCTGCACTATAAAAAGAAACAAAAAGCTGCTTTTCAGAAATAAAACTTCCAGCCTGGTAAAGGTGTTCAGTTACACTGTGTTGGTGGGCTACTTATACACACCCTGTTGTGGCTTACTGCTATTTTGTTATAACACCGTATATTAATATGAAAATGTTTCTTGTTCACAGAAAAAAGCAAAGATCGAGGGAGTAACACGATTGGTGCCAGGCTGAACAGAGTGGAGGACAAGGTAAGCCTGAAAGCAGTGAACAAATGCGTGGTCTGTGATTGAACAGAGCTTTTTTTCATAGGATGAAGGAAAAAGCTTGGCTTAAAATAGAGTTGAATGGCTGGTTCTTCCAGGTGATGGAGTGTAATTTTTGTTGTAGATTGCATTTTTGGTTCTTTCTTCTGCTTTTAACAGAATAAGGGAAAGAAAAAGAAAAAAAAAAAACAAACAGACTTTAATTGATTTCGGTCTCTTTGAGGACTCACTTGGTTTTTTGATTTTTAATTGTATTTATTACACATGTCTCAATGCTCTACTTCCTTCCTCTACGATAGATAAAAGACTCTGTTCCTTTAATACTTCAGTATATTACAGTCCCAAGATTTCCCTTTGATCGTTGCTTTGTTGTTTATATAACTCCACCTACAATTCCTTAGAGAGTGTGAGAGCAAACCTTGTTCTGTCCTGGTTTTCGTTCTCTGTGACAAACGGAGTTTCTCCTTTCAAGCGACTTGAAGTCAGAAAACATCAGACTTGTTCTGTAATTGCAAATTAACAGTTAAGTGCTATGTGACCCCTTATTTCAATGCTGGCTCTGCTTGAAAGATTAGATGGCAGGTAGAGACGATGTCATTGCTTTAAGGTAGAAAAGAAGAAAACTGGGGTGGTGGGCTTGTCTATGTTGCTATAAAGAGAAGTAGAATTTTTTTAAGTATGTTGTGGAAAAAAGCTTTCTGCCACAACTGGCAGTCTGTGATACCCTCATGATGTGTTTTTGTTGTGAATAAATATCTGGCAAATATTCTGCAGACCGAAAGAGAGTTATGAGTGTGACAGAGCAATGGGCACAAGCTGATCCCCTCAATCTGCATTGTATCTAGTGTGAGATATATCCATTCTGCCATATACATTTATCTTTAAATACGTAAGATAGACTTGAAGGATGGCACTCATAAGTATGCTTCTATCTATCAGAAGCGAATGGCATTTTGAAGGAAACAGGTGCCTTTTGGTATATAGAGAAACAAACATGAAGAGCGAAGAAGAAAGCAGGAAAGTACCGTGCATTTTGCACAGAGAAAAATCACTGTGGACTGTGCATGTTTGGGTCTGTGGTCAGTAAGCATCCTTACAAATGGACGCTCATTCCAGAACGTTTGAGTTACATTTATTCATTTTATCTCCTTAATGTCAGCTAGAAGTGTGGGACATGACAAAATGTGTCTTGTGGATTGTGACAAAGAACAATGGCTTTTCAGTTTGGACAAACAATTCTCAGATGACAGTTAAAATAGATTCTCAGTGGTGTTTGTAAAATCTCCAACGAGCGTGAGAAAGCGTTGGTGCTGTGCTGCCTCAGAGATAATCTACTTGGGGTTATTAATTACTCTTTTTACAAGTAAATACACCGTGAATTTATGGTGACTGTTGTTTTATGCCTTGTAATGGGACTGTAAAATGCTCCCTGTTTAATTTTAGTATAGCTGGGTTAAATTTTAGCCTTGTTTTAAGTAACAGACCTTTCTTTGTAGTTGCATGAGGTCATCTGTGGTTTCAGAGTTGTATGTTATCTGACCTATACAGCTAGTCCTATCTGCAGGAATTTTATCTGAAAGTAGCTGAAAGGCTAAAAATAGAGAATTTCAGTTGGAGTCGACAAACAGCAGTGTGCATGTCAGCACACTGGCACTGCTGAAATTACATTTTTACTGCAGCTGCAGGCAGCAGCCAGAGCTCAGTTTTTGATCTACGAGACTGGCCTTCTCTATTCTGTGCGTGGGATGATTTATCACACAATTAAATCCTTCCCAAGCCGGGTGCTGCCTAAGAGATATGTAGATCAGCTGTTTTTGAAGGTGACCATGTATTTTAAACATTTAGCTACGTTCCCTTTAGTTCTGAAATAGTTTTGAGTCTTGGACTTCTTAAAGAGAGATTTTCAGTAGTGTAGGCAACATCTGACTGCCATTGTGACTTCTCAGACATTTTAAAATCAGCTTTCTGTATCTCAGGGTGGTACAGTAGCCATTGGCAGCTCTCTGAGTCCTTTTGGGATCAGCCTAAACCTCCAGCAGGGCTGGTCTGTGCCTTCCTCTTCCTCTGAGCTTCGCCAAGAGTACAGTGTTGTGTGTGAACCATTTCCAATTGTTGTGCACAAATACAGATTGTTTGTTCCAGAAAGCTTCCACGTGATGCTGCGCTGTCTTGAAACCATTTGAGTGCTTCTGCTTATGTGCATCTACTGGCACGGGATCTGTTATGGGCACATCACAGAGGCAGAATTCAATTTCATTTGAAATCCATTCCTGTAGGCTTTTGTGGAGGTGCATTTTGAGTCGAGGAGCTGTTACATATATAGCTAATTCTGCCTTGTATACAATTCTGTAATTGTGTTTCTGTGACATCATGTCACTCTTGCAAAGCTTTTCTATTTGTAATAGTGGGACAAGCAGACATGCTCTAAAGCCTGACAGTATGCAGGAGGCAACACTTGAAAGGGAAACTTTCAAAATATAATGCTGAAACGCAAGTGATTTGACAGGAATTATGATGCTTTATGGCACAAATATGAACTTCCATGTATTGAAATCAGCAATATATATATATTGTTTTGCCTTCTTTTAAATTTAGAACTGTGCTTATCTGAGGGAGGGAGGGAGACTTTCAGCAAAAATAACAATTCCATTTCCTTTTTTCCAGATCTCTGAAACATGAAGCTGTATTGCTAGTATGAGATATTTTTATATACATATATATAATCTTTGAGGAAAATAAGTATCCTCTCAATATGCTGTTGTATGTAGGATCTATTAATCTTGTGCACCAACTGGAACATTGGTCTTGTAGAATATGTATTTTGCGATAGTTTCCTAGCACATAAATGCCAAGGGGATGAATCAAGGTGGCAGGAACCTACTCGCAGACTCCTTCCTGTAGATTTTTTTGTTTTGTTTTGGCAAGCTGCTGCAAAGGTGGTGTTATGAATGTAACTAAAAGGGGTACAACATGATATGCCTTGACTGGGGGGGGGTAAATCCAGTCTGTAATCTCAGCATATTTAGACTTCGTCGCTGTTTTCTGTTAGTTAAAAAAGGCAAAAGTGTGAATTGCTGTGTTCTTTGAAAAGCTTATTGCCAGAGCTGCGTGCTGGCAGTTGCAGGCGGTGGTTCTGCCCACTCCCCAGTCTGCCTGAGCAGCAGCCAGCTTTGGTCCAGAAAACACAAACTGCCTCAGTGCGGTGCCCAGACAGAGCTCCTAACTCTGCTAACATAGCAACTGTCCGTGTCCAGGCATGTAGATTTGCTTATCTGGTCCCTCAGAGAATGTAGCCAAGCAGGATTACAGCAACAAATCATTTTATTTGCGGTGACCGGCCGCCTTTTCTTTTTTTTTTTTCATCCTGAAACATCTGTGAATGACTATTCAGCCTACCCTCAAGAAACCTGGCCACTGCTGGATTGCTACCAAAATCAAAATCAAAAGCAGTTTACCAGATATGCACAGCTGTGTGAGCACACCACTGCTAATCCATATGCAGAGACCGCTGCATGCCAGTGGTTTAATACAGGGTGTGCCCAGCAGCTCGATCCAGAAAAAAAGTCCTTAATGCACTCAAGAACTTCTGTGTGCCATATCTCTTCATTTCACTGCGTTAATTTTGCATTGACTGTAATTGACTTTAATGCTATTTGGGATGATCTGTTCCTTCTGCTGGCCATTAATTTGGATATATCAGTCCCAGCTTGCACTTTGCAGATGATCAGGTGGCCTTAGTGCTTATTTGCCCTTAGGTAATTCAGTTTTACACAAGGACACAGTAGAAAATCATCCAGAGTACACAGGGAGGGCAAAATTGATGGTCTCTGGACTCTTAACAGTGTGTTGTGCCTACATATCAGACTCCCACAGATAGTAAGTAAGCCCTGCTGGAGCAGGAGTAACACAACTTGGGTTTCCAAAAGAACTTAAAAAACCAGATACATCTATTTCTGAGCAGTAAAAGTTGGGCTCTATTCTCCACTAAATTGTTTTAAACTGGCACTTAAGCTTCTGCAGTTATTTGGATGCTTTTTAAAATTTGCCTTTGAAGAATAGTTACAGGGATCCAAAAGCAATTCTCCAGGTGTTTCCTTCTACATACTCAGAACTACTCTTGTACCTGACAGTAAATGCGGTGTTAATATCAGTATTAACAAGGTTGCCATTAACCTTTTGTAATGGCAAGTAGAGACAGGACAAGGGGAAATGGTTTTAAACTGGAAGAGAGAAGATTTAGAAGAAATTCTTTATTGTGAGGGAGAGATTGGAACAGGTTGCCCAGACAGGCTGTGGAGCCAGGTGCTTATAACAGGGAATTGGAACTAGATGGTCTTAGAGATCCCTCCCAGCCCAAACCATTCTATGATTAACATCCATAATAATATTTTTCAATTACAGGGAACATTAGTGACAATATCTACTGGTAAATTTCAAGTTGTAGAGATTTAAATGGAAATTATACAGAAGGTGTGTGATAGTGAGACGTGTGACACCTTATACTTCAAGTCCAAAAATGCAGCAGGATGATATTCATTGCAAGCATATGCACATTTTGCATGCTTGCATTTGAAAACACGAACCCTTGTCCTCTTCCTAGTAGCAACCCAAAGAGCTGCATGTAGAAATTCAAGCATGCAGTGCATCACTGGACAAAGAATCATATCACTTTTTCAGACTTCCTGTAAGTGCAGTTTGCACCACCATTGAATTAATCTGAAAACAAATCTGTCATGCAGCAACATCTACCCTAAAATAGAACAAATGCTACTGTGCTTCTGAAGTTGCCTACTTGAAATCTGAACTGCTCTACAAAACCAAAAGTGTCTGAAAGGAAGTTCTCTTGTTTGTGCCGTTCTTTGGTGTTCTGGTTGTGGTAATTTGGTTTTCTCTCTTCCATCTACAGTGTCTTTGATTGTTAGATGTATAGGTCCCACGTTCAGTAAAACCATAATCATATTATGTGTATTTGATGTGATTTTCAG